CAGTCGCATAAAAATTCCATTATATTGACAACAATGTGTGAGCAAATCAAACAGACATAATAGGTAAAAATGTCAAAAATTGGGGTACAGCAGTCAACATTGTGTTATAATTTTAATCACTATAAAACAAACAACTATGTCAACAAAGAAAACCAAATGGCATGTAGACACTCTATAGACAAAGCATATAAGCAAAAATGAAAGAGAAGAATACAAAAAATGACCATAGCACAATAACACAATGGCGGGATGTATAAATAGTCAGCCACGCCAAAGGGATATTACCAAAAATGGACTAAACAGTAAAGGTTAAAAATATACAAAGATAAATGAAAAGAACACTATAACACGTAATTAAGATGATATACAACGTCAGTACCTAGAATCTGTACTTCAAGACCATCATGTATTATTTGTGAAGTTGATACGGAATATTCATCAACAAAGTCTTGGTATCTTCCGATGCACTTTTTATAGAAAAAGGACGAGACGTACTTTGCCATAATCCTGGTTCATCAATTTTCTGTCCATTCAGTTTTGTAAAGTCTGAGTAGCAGCTGCGAGCTCTTAAATACCGAATGAGTTGGGAAATGTATATCCCATATGCAGGTGAAGTTGGTATATTGCTGCTATGGTGGGAGAAAATTAAATCGTCTCGTTTGTCATAGATTCTGGTACTCAGATGACCGCTTAAGTCAAATTCAGGATATCAGTCTAAAAATGAGACAGAGGAAGCCGTGTCTGTTGTTTCTTTAATTTCTAGTTCTGGAGGATATATTAATGGAACCAAATCAGTAAAGTTTGGATTGTTAATGGAAAGCACATTATCAATATATCTGAATGTGAAATTAAATGATCTGGCTTCTTTGGTCTTTTTGTTTTTGACAAGTGTCTGAAGGAACTCCGACTCATATGAAAATAAGAATAGGTCGGCAAGGAGAGGACCACAGTTCGTTCCCACAGGTATGCTGATAATTTGTTGCAAAAATCTACCTCTAAATTCAACAAATATGTTGTCAATTAGAAACTCCAGCATACTGATCACTTGTTCATCGGTGTAGCATGTTTTACCTTTTTATTCACTATTAACAAATGTGTCGTATGGTATCCCAAAGCAATAAATTTATAGCGTATGCTACCATTTTTATATTGATAAGCATTGTGGATTATTTCTTTTAGACGATTTTTGGATTTGACATGGGGGAAGGTGGTATAAACGGTTGAAAAATCAAAGGTTTTGATAGAATTAATTTCAGAGAAAGATCGAGATTTGAAATTATCCAGACATTCTTTAGAGTTTTTTTAGAATCCACATATGGTTAAGGCCAAAAATGAAATATTGTTTGTTTCCCCTCCCACGACCGACCCGGTAAAATCACTGCGACCCGAAAAATTTTATTGGCTGTTCGTGTCCAGTAGTTTTTTTTACCCTCTCGAGTAGTCAGACTGGGCTAGTCAAAATTTAGTTTAAAACCAGGAATAAAAAAAAATTACTTGTCAACAAATCTCGGTTTCATTTAAAACCCAGTGGTTTCGGATGATATCGTATACTCCCATCTTTCATGAACAACATGCAAATCCTCGGGGTTTACCCATTCCCATTTATTTACATTGTCTCGCATGGTTGAACAAGGCAAACATCGTATGACCAAGTTTCTTCAAGTTGAAAGTAAAAATATATTTGCAAACTATTCTATAAATGCAAATGCTTGACTGTACCTTAAATTGAATATATATATATATATATATCCAGATTTAATCAAGAAAAGCAGTAATCCGGCAAATAAATCATGGTCACATGCACAATTTGTGTGTTTACATTTGTTGGGAGCCATGTGCTTTTTGGCGGGAAAATATGAGAAATCTCTAAATTAATGACTTCCTGTATCTTGTTATTTATAGCCAGCAAAGAATTTCAATCTCATGAACAGCTGAGATGGGAGTGCCATTTAAATATATTTAAATAATGGGTACTATCTGGGGGAAAGAGTGAAACTGCAAATACTTTTATGTATACTTACTTTACATACATTTATTTTTATTATGTTTAATTTTGGAGTGGGGAATTTTATAATATTGTCATTTTATATTTGTAAGATATAAAATGACAATACCATAAAATCCCAAACCCCAAGAAATAAAATTATTTTTAATATGTACTGGTCTGAACAGAATTGCTTGAAATGGCTTTGCAATTCTACCAGATTCACTGTGTTTTTTTTCAGTTAACTGAAATTAAATCTAAATTTGTCATGTGTCTGTCAGAAGTATGTTCAAGGCCTTTAAATGTAATATGACTGAAAGGCAATTTTTACCACGAATATCACCAGAAAACAACACGGTACATTTAAAACATAAACAATACAATAAGCTTAATTAATTGATTTTTTTTGACAGACAAAAATCTGTTCGGTCAGACAAAACCTATAACACTGTCTGACCGAATGTCAGACAAAAACCAAAAGAGTTTGGCGCAGACTGAAACTGAACAATACAATCCAATTAATCTGCAGCAAAACAATCAATGATGTGGTATCTTTAATAAAAAAAAAACTGAAGCAATCTTTCAACCCACTGAGTGCATTTTTATTTGCTTGGTCTTTAACCTCTGTTCATGTATAAAGGATAAAAGCTTTTGGTAAAAATGGTCTGAATCATGCTTTAAAATCTATCTACTTTGAATTTTGTACACATTCAATATAGAAAACCATATGAAGGAATAAAATAAAATAATTTGCCTACCTACCTGCCCATACCCTGAAAACCTCAGTCGGGAAGTGGAAACAAAGATATTTTTAATGTTAGCCTAATACCACTACGCGAGTTAACAGTTTAAAAGTAATTTTGAAGACCTTCTTTCACTGCAGACATAATTTTTGTCAATTTAATGGACAATTCCTTTGTATAACATGCAGATGAGCCGGCAATGTACCGTTGTTTGTACGTAATTTTGTGAAAGGTATGTCCTCAGATTTGCTGTTCAATGTAATGTTCATTGAAGGTATGAAGGACTTATGATTCGCCAAAATCTCATCCTTGTCAAATGATATATTTTGTATGTGGGATAACCTGAGTGCTCATTTATTCCACCCACCATTTTCTTCGAAAAATGCCTGTGCTAAGTCAGGAATATGACAGTTATTTTACATTCGTTCCGTTTATTGATAACATTTTACGTTTTGGTTTTTCGGTTTTTATGGTATTACCCTGCTTGAATTTACCTTGGAGTTGTTTTTTTTGTTTTGTTTGTTAATGTTTTTTTTATTACATTGTATATAGGCATTCCAACAAAATTTTAAAAGTTAAAAAAAGGAATTCTTCATCAAAATACATATTGACTTTTCAAAATGTATCATTCTGTTTCTTTACACAGATTTTGAATATCGCATAGGCATCCAATTGTTTCATTTTTGTTGCATCTTTTTGTATTGGGTACCTGTAACAAAGCGAAAAACAACCATAGTAGTAAAACACATACAGTGTTTACCAATATAGAACTGAGTAATGCCGCTTTGTCCAAAAAATATCACTTTATATAACTTCAACTGACGAAAAATTGATAATCACACAATTTTTAAATTTCCATCGTTTGAACCCCTTAACACATCTTGACAGAATTTATAAGAATTGTAAATTAACAAATCTCGTCTACAGCTATAGTGTAACCTTTGCGGATTGGTATATGTCAGTGAAACAAAAAGGAGGCTATTCAAACAGATGTTCGACCACATATCAGACACAGATCGGGCCGTTAGTTTTCTCGTTTGAATTGTTTTACATTTGTCACTTCGGGGTTTTTAAAGCTGACTATGCGGTATAGGTTTTGCTCATTGTTGAAGGTCGTACAGTGACATATCGTTGTTAACTTCTATGTCATTTGGTCTCTGGTGGAGAGTTGTCTCATTGGCAATTATACCACATCTTCTTATTTTTGTATTAACAACAATGCAAATTACATTGTTTTCCAAGCATATTAATTAGTCTGATCATTCAATCCTTTCTATGCCAGTTCGCATCATCGTACAAACATACCACATGACTAACAATCCTCATCTTGCAACTTTCTGTAAACAAAAGAAAGACTACTGGATTCAAGAATTGGGAACTGCGGCACCATATGGTTGCAATGACAAAATTGATGGTATAGGTATTCTATCTAGTCCTTTGTGTAACTCGATGAATATGATGAACATTTTCAACTCCTCGACGTAGACACAGCCATGGTCATCGTCATTATACATTACCTACTCTTCATGATGTCTCTATTGATGACCTTCTGCAGTTTATACAAAAACCGTTGGGTATTCATCACATTCGCACGAAGCTTGATTCACTACCCTTTTCAAAATTTCATTATCTGTACAATTTATGCTTGGAAAACCCCCATTCAAACCAATACAAACTTACAGCAAGCTATCATTTTGAATATTGCTAGTCACAGACTTTTCAGACCAGTTCACATAGGAAAATATGAAAAGAAGAAAAGTTCCTTTCTAAAACTGTCCTTTCTCACAAAGGTCTCAATGCCATCAACTTTGGCAATATCCTTCATTATATCAATACCTCCTTATTTCAAAGATCAGTCTGTACTTATCATCTCTAATACCTATACCTAACCAATTGCGACTAAAATTTTCAATAACAAACACTTGTTGCAGGATCTCAATATTAACGTCTTAAAGTCTAAACCTCCTGATTGCACCTGTGCTAGTTTCCCATTCATAAACAATCCGGCAGTGAACGTTATTTACTAGTGACTTGAACATAGTTAATAACACTTCTCTGCGAAATGTGTTATCGAAAGGCCCGAATAACTACACTACACAAAAACCACACAGCTTCAGAATGACAGACGCAGATTCTTATATATAAATATATGCCAAAACATCGTTCACATAACGTAAAAAACATACTGAGATGTCTTCATTAGTCTACTTTACCTTGTGCATAACACTATATGCAAATATTAGATACTGAACAGGCGTAATTAATACAAATGCATCGGTAGAGTATTTATTGAAACAATACAGAAACAAGAGAATACTAAATAAAAAAAACACCATATAAACAAACCTATATCTTATAATTCATTAATACAATAAAATATATAAATATAAGTATAAGTATAAGTATCATTGCGTAGTAGTAAAAAATAATACAAAAATATTAGACTCTAATATATGCGTACCGCTACACTTGCAATCTACGTGCAGAGCACTGAAACATTTCACAATTTTCATGATGGCATATCAATGATTGTATGTTTAAAGTCTAGACCAGGGTCTCTTCAGAATATAAAATGGTATAGACAATTAACTATTGTAGAAAACCTGGTGTAATTAACCTGCTTTTTTGCCTGTCTGGTGCATACCCCAACAACTCTATTAAATCATATTATTGATAATAAGTCGGCACCATCTTGAAATAAGCAAAACACTCATAGTTTAAAAAGGCCTGTTCGCGAATCAATCCCATCAATACATTTTTGAAATATGTTAACCAGTTTGTCACAGGTTTCCATGTACATGTACATTAACAATTTCGGGACCAGTTTTACAGCATTGCGCATTTCGACAACTAATGTCTCTCCAGTGATGCTAGAGGCCAACATATTAGAAAATTCAAAACTTAAAACAAACGCTGAATAGCCGATAACACCAAATGGGACTAAATGTAGTATCCAAATTCAGACAAGGTGTCAGAGCTATAGAGATATATCTCTAAACTTAGTATAATTTCCAAAAGTTTATAACAGAAAATGTCATTAAAACAATATCCTTATGCTCATGCCGGTACCAATTTTAATGCAGATACAAAACAAAATAATTTTCACAAATCAAGTTCTGAAAGGAACTCTCTTGCAAAATTCACTAAAACGATATTCACATTCCAACATATAACGCAAATGACAAAGGATACAAAGTAATGATAATCACATATTAAATTCACTAAAGTATATAATCATTTTTTTAATTATGGAGCATACCACATGTACCATAAGCACAATAATATTTTAATCAATTCGTTACTTATTAGGTTCACACAGCAATATTGCAAATCAAAAGTTATGAATCTCAATTATAAAGTATAAGTAAAAGGGACATACAATTTATACATAAATCGTCGATATTATTAAAGACATGTTACGAGAAAAAAATCATGTCTTTTGTTTGCATGCAAGGTCTTTAACTTTATGCAGTACTCAATGCCTAAAATGTAAAGTTGATCAGTGAATTTTGCTTTTATCCATATATTTGTCCACTGATGCGATCACCCTTATATAAAATAAAGGACAAGAGGACCCATACGCTTTATGCCGTCACCATCGTAAACATTAAAGATCATGACTATATAATAGTATTCACTGTGAGAACGAAAACTTTCATAAGAAAGCCTAACAACTAATGGAACACTTCAAACAAAATTTAAAATGTATATCATATTATGCAACATATTAAAACACTCGAGATTAACATCAAAAGTAAATGTAATTATATACATGTAGGATATTTGGTAGCTTTTCCAGTAGTAAATGTAGGAAACTTGCTTCATTATTACAAAAATAAAGTTGTATAAAAATTATAATAACAGTAAACACTAGTTAACTAATAAAAAAATGTAATAATACTAAATATTTTTGTCGATATTGCATCAATTTAAACATGTTTCTTTCAAAGCATCTAATTTTAACTGCCTAAATGGTTGCATCTAAGTTTGCTTTATCTCATATGATTATCAAGTGAACAGAGAGAAGATGTGTCCATATAACATCTTATGTCCATGTTCTGTGACCATAAAATGTGCGCCAAACTCGTACTCATATAGTTTCAAATGTTCACTTCACAATGAACATATGTACATAGCTTTACGTTTATGTGACCATAATTTCAGGGAAACTATTTTATCAAAAAGCTTCTTCTGCGAATGTTCTGATCTCTCACCATCACATTGTTATGTTACCATCACATCAATTTTGTATTGCCATATTATACTGTTTAGTTTTTGCAATAATGTTATTTAAAACTACAGTAAGAAAAAACATAAATGTTAACATGTACGTAGCATAACATCAACGCTCTATGTAAAATATCTTTTTTCAATAAAAAGAAATGTTTATTGTTTTGGCCTTTTGAAAGCTTCAGTCTTGTGCGATTTTCGTTTTATCCCACATTTGTTTATACTATATAAGAGGGTCTGGATGGGGGAATGGGGTTTCAATACAGAGAAAAAAAGGGTAAAACATACAGAATAATGGGCAACAAAAATAAGGAATAGAGAAAAATGGACCAAAATTATAAAGAAGAGAGAATAATTGGGTATTAAATTTTAATGAATAGTGATTATTTAGCAAAATGAATAAAGAACTGAAAAAAATGGTATAAAAATGCAAATAATACAGATAAATGTAGACCATCCACTATCCAGACCCTCATAGAAATAGTAGTCATTCTTCACGCATTTTTAAACAGTAGTTAATTGAAGCTATAGTAATGATATGAATAGAAATATTATAAACTAAAGTGAACTGAAATTTTTATGGAAAAAACAGCTTTAGAAATGCTACATCATGTACATGGTTGAGTATTTAAATTGCATTCCCGATTTCATCAATTTACACAGACACAAAAACACAAAAAAAATATGATTTCGTAGATCCGTTTATAGTAAATTCCACACTGTATTTGCTTAAATTAATTATCACTTAGAGTAATATAATGCTTGTTTTTTAAATCTTTATCAAATCAAAGACTTGACAAATATTCCCAGTGAGGCATGAAATACCATTATGTTTTCTTCATTATTATTCAGATTCACTTTTTACCTAAATTCAAAACTTCTTAAAGGAATTATTGCACTTGAATGATGACAATACCCTTTTTTGCGTTTTTTTTTTGACAAATATTGAGTAGGTAGAGAGAAACTGGAATACTATTTCTGTCATTTGAATTGTCTAAATGATAAAATACTATGTTGAATTAAAATTTGGTATCATGTTAGTTATCAACATTCAAAAACTGTCATACCGGTATTCCTTTCCCATTAATTGTTATACAACTGTTTACAATGTCATGTAAATCGCATCCAATACTATTTCGTTTTTGTCATTGCTGACACAGTATTTAGTGCCTCTTTCGAAGCCTTTGTATCTGGATGATTATCTCCTAGGAACATATTAAGTATCTTGTACGACTCTGTAAACTGAAATCTTGCCTTCTCAAAATGGTTGGTTCCAAAGTAGAAAGCTCCTAGATTGTACCTAGCAACAAAATCACACTGCATTAACGTCTACATGTTTATGGATATAAAGATAAGAAGATGTGCTTAAGAAGATGGTTTGCTTGCCAATGAGACTACAGTGACCATCCACCAAAGACCAAAGGACGTGGATGTAAGCAACTATACGATACTGTACGGCCTTCAACAAGTCTTGAGTTTTTATTATCTTTTACTATGAACAAGCGACTAAAATTTCATACGTTTCTAAAAGCACCTGTGTTCAACCTCAGTTTTGTGGCTGGGGTTCGTTTTAATTTGCTTTGTCTTCAATAGTTTTTTTTTAAAATAATATCATAATAATGTATTATATTATCTTTTATATATTATATAAACAAGGTCTTCCCTATGGTTGCAATTCTAATCACCTGGCGTTAAAGAATAGAAGCCTACACATTAAAAAAAAATATGCAGCTGATACCAACGGGACGTTCAAACTCAAAAGTCGACAATTATTTGACAAAGTCATGGCAAAAAACAAAACTCGACGAAAAGACAAACAAATCCAAAAAACACTACATAGAGAAAGACTGAGCAACACGCACACCACTAACAACTTGGGTGATCTCAGATATTCCGTAAAGGTAAAAAAAATCTGTTCCGCTAGTAGCAACCGTCATGATGCTCGTGGTAAGTACACATTGGGTAATAAATGTAATTCGGTGGTCACACTCAAGAAAAAAGAGTACAGGGTTGTGAATACGACAATGAGATCAGAAAATATCCTTGGTTATCTATGGCACAAATATTCCATAATGGTCAACAAACTCGTGATGGTGTCCGCAATACTTCCAAAAATATGACTTCAACTTTACCACTTGGAACCCTTTGTTCCAAAGCTTCCTCATCCCAAGTGAACCGTTACAACTAGCCTTTGTATTATGGACCTGGATAGGTAATAGTGTTTAGTAATGGTTAAAATATACCCATTTTTTCACATATTTAAATTGATTTCTATAAAATATCAATGAAACAAATGATTACAAACCGTATGGATCCTGTTCCTAAATAGTTATTGCCGTATGTTTCTAGAATTATGGACAAAGCGGCTTCATACAATTGCCCTGCCATGACGTCAGACTTATCATCATATACCAGTCCGATCTCATTTAATACAACAGCCGTGCGTGGATGATTGGTACCAACTTCACTTCTCGTAACCTTCAAATCCTGCATGTAAAAGGCAAGTGCCTCCTCTACACGACCTTGTTTGTAAGACAACTGTCCAAGCTGAAAAGAAATAGCAAAGGATGAAAAAACTGATGATCTTAAGAAGTGAAAACATCAACAAATATACAGAATTATATAGATACAAATATGGTATAGGTAACAATATAACTCTTTGATGAGTTTTTGTATGTGTTAACAGCGACACAATTCAACTTTAAAGGATCTGAATCATGTTAATGCATGATAAACTACTAAAATGACTGATAGAAAACTTGTGAAAACCCTGTTAAGTGGCTTGGGGCGATTATTAATCACTTTTAATTGGAAATTTTAAAGTATATATATATAAAAAAACAATCAGAAGTTCGTATACTATTAATACAATGTTGTTCTTATAAAAACACAATTACATTGCCAAATACACAACGGAAATAAACATCTGAATTAAAAAAATATTCAACTGACTATATGAGCTAACCCAGAATATCTAAAACAAACAGATCTGATAATACAATATTTATTGAACACGCCATTGTAATTCAGTTTAATAAGTAATGTGGTAAAAAACCAACTTAAAACATATTTAAAATAAATTGTATCTTGCCTTTGTCAAAATAGCAGCTACAAAATGATGCTTCTTTCCAAGGACAAAGGTTGCAAGTTCCAAAGCTCTTGTCATTAATATCTTAGCTTCAAACATGTCTTCCTTGTGAATGTAAACGGTGGACAAGCCAATGAGTCCTTCACACAACTAATAGATATTACAAAAAAAAACAAATACAACAAAATATATCAAAACAAAGAACCCTAATATACACGATATATTTCAATTATTCCACAGTTATTGGTTTTATAAGAATTACATAATTATTATTCTATAGTGTTGCCAACATGTATTTCAGAAATAACTAGTACAACAACATATAGGTCAATATTGTTGAAATCACATGTGTATGAAAAATATGTCTACTAAGAAACACAAAATCGTGTTCTTTAACATTTGTATACCAACAGCGATTTTTGAAGGAATTTATAAAATTAAATGTAATTATTGTAACACTTTTTGACATTATGTTCAAGACTGTTTTTATAAATAAGTCCGTTTTGGAATTTAATTAATTGTACTAAAGACAGTATTTTTAGAAACCTTAATGTTTTGTGTACATGTGTTGCCGACTGTATGTCTTTGTGGTAGTTTCTCTCCCTTACATTGCTGTCTTTTAGACATGTAACCCACATCTACTTTTATTCATAAAAAGATAAGTAATCATACCTTCAGTTTTTGACTTGGCGACCGAATTCTATTTTGTCGATTAATAGCATCATTATACACTGAAACAGCTTTATCATATTCTCCAAGTTGACGATATACAGTTCCTAGATCATGTAATCCCTGAAACAACAAACATATATGACTGTTATTTCCATAACGTCCAACACTAAACAATGCACGTACATTCAAGATAAGAATAAAGGACACACGTGGGCGGTATGCTAGACAAAAAAGGGAATTCATAGAATTCAAGAGCGTGAAATTAAACAGGTAATTAACCACTTACTAAGTTATATAATTAAAGTAAACAAAATACTCTACAAAAATGTACTTAGATTACCGTAATGACATCAGGATGTTTACAGCGATATTCCCAACTCTGACCAAATGCATCATATACAATAGTTCCAAGTGATTCCCCGAAGTTCATCTCCAGTTGCTTTATTAGAGTCTCGTATACTGTCTTAGCTGCTTCCATTAATCCCAGTTTTAGGAAAAACTTTCCAAGATTTCTGATAATATGTTTATGCATATATTTAGTTATAATAATATGTGAATATTTAATTGAATGCCACAATTGGATGACATATGCATGCAAATATCAATGTTGTTACCCTCCTAATATAAATACAGGTTTCATTCCAATGGGCAAATACAGAAAAGGCTGTAATGAATCAGTCTTATAAAGGTTGTGTTGTTCCCAGATTTGTCTTTTGTATGCTTACCAAACATTGGTAGTACATTAATGTATCTGATACCTGTACTATTCAATCTTTTTTTTATCAAAATACTGTTATATTTTAAATGACATGAAATAAGTTATTAAGTTCCTTGTTTCGTAACAGTCAGAAATAGACAATATTGCTAGTGTTTCCGTGTGGAATTAGCGATTTTAAACTTCCATGTTTCATTTAGGTTATTTTTATTCATATTCTTACATATTAAAGGAAGGCAGTTTAATTTTCATATTTGTTTATACATATTCAGTGAATGAAATTGTATTTCCATTTATATCTTTTAATACAAACAAGTTTATCAAATTAGATTCTAATGGATTTACATCTGATTTAAAGGGGTATTAGCTGTCAAATTCATGTTCACCGATTCGACTCAAACTCTCATATTTGATTTATAACAAACAAAATACAATAAGTCTGAAATAAACAATTAACAATGCATGGATTCGATAATATATATCAGCATTTCGTGTGTATTTCAGTCTAGACGCCATCTAATTAACCATCGAAATGACCTCCGAAGACTGCCGACGGTCACATAACGCGATTTAAACATAAATATAAATATAAATACATATCGACCACGTGTAAATGGATTTTTCTAGGTCTGTTTGATTTCATGTTATAGGTTAAATAAATAGAGAATGTGTCTATGGGACACAGGTGCCCCCGCTTGTAAATATGCATGAGTCAACTTCTACATACAGAAGCAGGATTCACGTAGTTAAGACTGATTTGTGATTATAAGCATTGTGTATAAGTTTCATAGCATTTTGTTGAGGCAAACTAAAGTAAGAGAACGGAAACGATATATTTAGCAATTTTTCCATTTCTAAAGAACGGTTCAAGTGACGCCACCCAATTTCAAACTTGATCTGTGTTTTGTGGTAATTAGCATTGTGTATAAGTTTTATAACATTTGGTTAAGGCAAACTAAAGTTAGAGAAAGGAAACGAAAAATTCAGCAATTATTATGTTTATTAAGGAGCATAACTCATGAACGATTAAAGTGACGCCACCCAATTTCGAACTTGATCTGTGTTTTGTGGTTATAAGCATTGTGTATAAGATTTATAACATTTGGTTGAGGCAAACTAAAATTAGAGAACGGAAACGAAAAATTCAGCAATTGTTATGCTTATAAAGGGGCATAACTCATAACGGTAAAAGTGACGCCACCCAATTTTGAACTTGCTCTGCGTTTTGTGGTAATACGCATTGTGTATAAGTTTAATAACATTTGGTTGAGGCAAACTAAAGTTAGAGAACGGAAAACAATTTTGGAAACGTTCGCTTGGACAGACGGAAGGACGGACGGACGAACGGACGGACAAGGGTAACATTTAATGCCCCGACACTTAACGGCGGGGGCATAAACAAATAAGTTAATCATCATTTTTACCTGTATAAGAATGATTTTTTGTGGATCGAATCAGTCAAAGAAATGGTTCACCTTTGTTTCACTTTCAATGATGACATTCTTTTCCTTTAAATGGCTGAACACGCCTAATAATGCGTAACCAATCTCTAGCTTAGGGGTTAAATTGAAGGTCACATGAATACAGATTCAATGAGGTCCAATTATTCACTTGCAAGTGAATAATTCATTAGCGAGGTTACTTAGTTCATTTTGACAAAATTGAACCAAACTGGCTGCCAAAAGCGAATTAATATTTCACAATTTGATTTTCATTGATGATAGAACAAAACAAAAATCGTATCTCATTTTTGTTATATCTCGTAGCTAGTGCCCCTTTTATACAACAATGGTGGTTTTTAATGAATTACCTGTACAGTTTGCAGTAATAAGGGACATTTTCCAATATAACACTCTTCGGAACCTTTGCTAATGCAGACATGTATGCCTCTCCCGACAGTGAAAATCCACCAAGCTACATATAAACATGATCATTATGATAAATAAATGTGTAAAATATTATTGTCTAAATGAATTGATATATATGCCTTCATTACACGTTTGTAGTTTACATTAACGGCAACAACAGGTGCAATGTAACGAATAAAACATAAGCCCGGTGCGTCGACAGGACAAGGGTTTCAAGCTATACATAACTCGCCATGCAAATACCAGTTCAGTTCAGTGTCACAGATAGGGATTGGACACAACTTAGACAGACTCTCTTCTGTTTTCTGAAGATTTAAGACCGCGAAAGCATGTCTGTTGTAAGTTGAGAATAGACACAGTATTGGAAAACCAAATTGTAATGGTGACCGTAAAACTTGTGTTGTGTAGATTTCAATCATTCTTTAACATAACTTTGTCAGCGCAGTTTTTGCGTCTGGAGCGTAGTCCTATATATGAATTCCGTATAACGTAATCAAACACACGTGTAACGTATCAACTAAAAGACTTAGATGTAAATTTCACACAACTGGACGACAGTGGGTATGCTACAACAGAAAATTGGAAGTTGGCAGAGAGAATGATGAAATTCTCACGTTTAACATAGGTCCAGTTTGAAGTCGCCCCAGGTTTTTGGTTGGGTTCTTGTTGCTCAGGATTTAGTTTTCTATGTTGTGTTTTGTATACTGTTGTTTGTCTTTTGGTCTTTTCGTTTTTTGGCATGGCGTTGTCCGTTTATTTTCGACTTATGAGTTGAATGTCCCTTTGGTATCTTTCGCCTCTCATTTGCTGGAAATTTGTTTCATATGAGTACAAAAAAGGTCGTCCAATCAGGTCACATTGGAAAACCTACCTTCTTTAAATATCAATCAATCACAATCAAATCAAACCTTATCAATTATTAAGCAAGTTAACAATAAATACTGAAACAAATTTGCTGTTAAATGTTTGATTTTAAGTTGTATTGAAAATGTTCAATATTTACCGTCTTCCATGCTTTGACTAACTCGAAGATACCATCTTCATTGTCTGAAAGCCTATAGAAAACATCTAGATCCGACACTGTAGTTTTAAGTCTGTCTAACTCATTGGCTCTGGTTAAAAGGAACGGTAGCTCTTCAACCTGATAAAACATTTACAGCTACTGTGGATTCATTAATTTTCGTGGTTTATCAATTTTTTGTGAACCAAGAACGTATAAATGTTCATCGAAGTACCAATTTTCTAGAGGCTTGTATGTATACTTTGGCAAAACCACGAAATCAAATATCCACAAAAATCAAAATTTTCCTCATTTCACATAAATTGGTACACACGAAAATGTATGAATTCACTGTAGTTTATTGCATATTCACAATTGTTGGAAAGAAAGGTGGGACAGCAATAAAATTATTACATAATATTCATACGAGTGCAAAGAGGGATTTGCAATCTGTGTCAAATATTAATTTCACTATTTTTCTCAAAGGCAGAAAAATCTCCTGTATATAATATTAATCGTAGTCACGAAGAAACTAATACACGTTTTAACAAAACAAACAAAATAGAAAAAAAAATATAAAATAGGTATTTATAAAATACATACTGTCCTGTTACTTGTTTCCTTTGAAACAAAGAAATTGGCAAGACGTAGGTAGCCATTCCGTTTAGCTTCAGCATCAGACAAGTACTTTTTTTCGACGGCTCGTCTAAGATGGTCATGAAAGAAATTCAGCAATCCATTCCGATTTACCAGATTTTCATAAAGTGATAGATAGAAAGGTGACCATACAGCACTTGTAACCTAAAACATACAAAATAATATGCAATAATACAAAACAAATAGTACAAATTGTCATTTAAGGGCAATCACTTCTATCAGGAGTCAACTGACAATTTCGACAATAAGATTTATTTGAAGATCTTGTCATGTTGATAATTTATTTGCTTTTAAAGTTTCAAAAATCTATTTTAGTTAAAATTAATTTTTAAGATAAAAAGCAAAAACGCAAAAAATGGAAGAAATCGTAAATAAAAGGCAATAACTCCAATGAGGAGACGACTGACAACTTCAGCTATTTGAATTATTTGTCGTTTTTATCTAGCTGATAATTTTTGTATTTTACAGTTTCTTGCTATCATTTTTAGTTTTCAAGATAATAGTCATAACAAAACATAAATGATAAACTGAAAAAAGGACAGATGGTAAATCTCAATATGATGAACATTTTTGCCTGTTTCAGACTATATCTATCAAAAGCGGATTTTAAGATAATATTTAACCTTGTGTTCTATTTTTAGCCATTTTGGTTGGCACCGGGGTCATCGGACACACTTTTAAAACATTTTAAAACAAGATACCCCAATGTTGATTGTGGTCAAGTTTGGTTAAATTTGGCCCAGGTGAACTTAAAAAGATACATGAAATCAATACAAAAGTACACAGCTGGTTTTTTTCTAGTTGTAATAGGTAAATGACACTACACACTTCTTACATTTTTAACCATGTTTTGGAAACGTAATAAGTAACAAAATTTCGTTCTATATTGAAGTTTGATGGTCGGAAGGTGGTACCGAAAAGGCATCTAACCTGTGGAGCTATGGTATCAAATCATATTATGTCAAAAAAAATTATAAGGAACTTACAGGTAAACGGAATAAATAAATCAAAATCAATGAAGTCTAACATTACTTGAAATGAATACAATTGTTATATACATGTATTTTTCTATTTAACAGGGAAATGACATATTGAAAAACCATTCATGTTTTATAATGATTTCTTAGCAAGCGAAAACAAAAATCTTAACATGTACCAGTCAAAATAGAATGAAATGCAAAAACACGGTGGACAATGTGTTGTTGATCCAGTTTGTACAATACATAATTACCTCTACGGTGGATAAGCACAAACTCACAATTTCGAATAGTATCAAGCAAGGACATAACCCTTGAAACTTTTCATTCCAACAATAGTTTTGATTTGTGAGCGTATACTTACGTCCAAGAGCTCAACTATTTCGGACTCTGACATTCCCTTATTTCCGCACCATAAAGCAGTTGTTGTATCACGTACAAGGTGGGTCCTGTAAAAATAAAAATTAAAATTAACCGTAAAGACGTTTCTACAAAAGAATTAATGAAAATAAACGCTAACGTTAATTTAGAAAACAAAACAAAAACCAATATATTTTGAATAAAAAATATGCGGAAGATACCAAAGGACATTCAAAATTCATAAGTCGAAGTAAAATGTACACCGCCATGGCCCAAAAACGAATACGATGAAAAGACAAACAAGTTCGCAAAACACTACATAGAAGACTAAAAATTGAGCAAAACGGTCCCACCTCAAACAGGAGGTGAACCTAGATGCTCCTATACGACAAGCAGCTACTGCTCTATATGTGGCATCCGTCATGTTGCTCATGCAAGTACAAATTCGGTGAATATGGGGTTGCTGTCATACTAAAATTTGCCCTCAGCATCCCAACTGGATCTTATAAGTAAGTAACATAAAATTAATGATTAATCTTTTTATAACAATGATGATTTTATTTATTACCAGGTACAGGAGACCACCATCAATATATAGTTTGAAACTGTACCTTGCACTATCTCCCTGCTCAAAATCTTCCTCGAGTCTGTCTAAAATTTTCGCGAACAAGTCTTGCGGAGTATCTGCAGACAAATACTCTTGGATTTTTACTGTGAGTGTTCGAAATGACCCATACATTCGCACCTAAAATATATTCTATATTTGTATGTGTATTACAAAATATTCAGCAATGCTAAACATGATTAATGATATCATCATTATCAATTACATCTGAGAGTATTTCATACTTGTTAGTTAATAATTATAATAATCAGTAATGAAATAATAACGTCTTTTACTTTATCTTCTCATGGCGGTCCCTGACATCAAGTGTAAATAAAAAAAGGTTTATACAGTTTTCAAAACGTTTATTGATGAAAGATGCTCTAGATAATGTTGCATGAATGACCAATCAAACATTTTGATGGTAAACGGCCATCATTTAATAAAAAACAACAAGCATTTAAACTAGTTATAACATGAATTTTAACAATGGACGAGACTCTGCAAGTAATCTTGGTCTTATACGTTTACCCGTTCAGGTAAATATATTTCATAAGTGAAATTACTTGGTACATACAAGCTTTATGACTGATCAATATTTAAATGAACAAAGTTGTGTATTCGCGCTATTATGACACACGTGAAACTCACCTCGTCTAGTAGCGATTTTAAATATAAAGGATTTGATGTTTGTTTAACGGTAACAATCATTTCCTTTTGTTGTTGGTTCAGAGTTTTACCATAAATTCCTTCCAGGTATTCAGTAAGAATCTGCATCTTTTGTGAGTCTTGTAGTGGTTGTACTTTCATACTTGGCCATCCAGCTTGATCGCACGCTGTCATTGCCTGCATATATAAAAGACATTGTCCATGTTAATATCAGCGAGTGTATTTGTGCCCCTTGTTCTGTTCTTCTTAATTATTCTAATTGTCCAGAAAACACATGTAAATATAATTTGACAAAACTTAAAAAAAAGGAAATCAAGGGTACAGGAACTATCAATAACTATACTAAATGCAATTTCATGACAAAATATAAACGCTAGATATCCCATGAAGCAGCAGCACTAACAAAAAAAAATACACATATAAAGATAATTATGCAAAATATACTAACTGAAATGTGAAGACATGATTAAAGCTGTAAGTTCCGATATGTACGCTTTGGCAATAAAGTTTATCAATAGAATGTGTGTATTTGTACAGGCCAAAATTGTTCCCCTTTAATAGTAAACCTGGTCATGTATTATTATGAATCACAATTAATGGCCAAATTCAGTAAATATCTATCTGAATTTTATTTAATAGAAATCAAATCATATCAGTTACAAATACATTTATGATATTTTTGTTTTAGATAATCAAGACTGTTTTAATTGTTCTGCGAAAATGTAACTCAGAAAAACGTACTAAATAAAGCTAAAAGTAGCAAAAATGATTGCCCTTGACTTGATTTTGAATAGTTCTGTTTCACACGAGAAACTGTGTTACAATAACGGCAACAAATACTATTTTTAATTTTTTTGGAAGGCAATGTTGTTTTTGGCTCAGAAATGACTACACTTAGTTCATGGATACACCAGATTAAGTATCGAGGCTGAAGGCTCATAAGCCTGTAAACCCCACCAAAGTCTTCAGGTGTCTGTCCCAAGTAACCTGTCATCAAATGGTTGTCATTGGTTGTCCTTTATATTTATTTGATTGCTGTAGTATAAACTGTTCAAATGTTTGTCCTTTGTCGACGGAAAATTATCAAATTAGCAATAGTATTCCGCATCTTCTTATTGTTATACTGTGTGTCAGGTTTGTGTTTACATTCATATCATTTGTAGAGAAGAGATTGAAGATTCGAAAGGAGCAAACAACTAATAGAAAATAAGGACAGTTTACAAAATATATCAGAGGAACCTTGCGATTGACTCAGACTGAAAATAAAACTGTTTGATACACCCTAATAAGGATCTCTGGTAAAAACAATTTATTTTCACATATTTTGTAGATCTTTTTATGCTGAATCAAAAAATGCAAAGAACAATAAGCGCTTCATCAAATTCAAAGACTTTGAGAACTAAGTCAGTATGATTATCATGTGAAAAAACATTAAAATTCTAAATCTAATCGTTTTCTTTGGTTGTTTTAGACTTAAAATTCATTTTAATTTTAGATTTATGTCCACATTTTGCCATTTTCTAATTTAAGTTTAAGGATAAAAATATTGGTTTTAATGTAAAATAAAATAGGGGTCACAAGGCTTTAAAAAAGTTATGGACATTTGTTTTACCCCTCTACCCCATATGGTCTGATTTCAATGCATTCCATTAATTTCATTTTTGTGAATTCTCTATTAATTGCTTATTATACAATAATGTGTGCAATTATATGATTGGACGATATCTGAATATTAATTTGTTTAACGTATAATTATTTGTAATTACAAAGCAAAACTTAGATTATTTTGGTGCAATACGGTAATTTTTGTCAGGCGCGAATTGTTTCCCTTTAATTTGGCGCCAAAATCGGACAACATAAATGTCAGTGTCGCCATTGTTGTGCCGCCTATACTTCTGATGAGTACGACCATGTTCCTGAACAACAGACATATTGTCGAATATACAAAGTTGAAGGTAGAGTTATTGCATATAAAACATAGATTGTATTATTTAAGGCAGCCAAATGTTATCAGTTATGGTATATTCGTAATGGCTGGCTATCCTTTTGCGTTCATTTGACATTAAACCGACAAATTGTGAACATGTAACCTGGTGGTGAACTATTGGTGCTAAAAAGTATGATTGTTGAATTTGTTGGCATGAACATTAATGGCCTAATTGTAAAGGAGAACACCTGTATAAGGCAATACATTTTATTGGTTGATTGGTCATGATTATAATTTGTCAACAGTTAACCCTCCCCCCTCTTATGGAAAAACTTCATCAGGTCCTAGGTACAAACATATAACTCATCTAATTTACCTAATAACACATACATATGAGTGTAAGGTTTTTCTTCCAAACTCACAACAAGTCCATATTTATTTTGCTCAGTATATGAAATACAAAATTCGCGAATCCCATATCCCAAAAAGGGTGTTATACCCATTTGGGTGACTGGTCCTGTCCTGTTTACAGTAAGTACTTACCAAAAGTATAAACTTATATATATACATTATAAATATGCAAGTTTAAAAGGGTACAGCATCACCAAAAAAATAGTAAAATTACGAACAAATATTAAATATTTCGGAAAACTAATATCCTTCATCAGTAAGATGTCAAGAGATTCTTATCTTGACATGTGGTAGTCGAATTGAAATAATAATCTTGAATATCATACAAGTTATCACGAATCAATACGCTGGTAAATTGTTTCAATATTGATGTTTGGGAGGAGAAATAAATTCCTTAAAACTGAGATTCCTGTACTGAAGTCTGCGTTACAGGAAACAAGTGCTGGTAGGGACTAATTTTATGTTTATTCATGCATGCCCTCTGTGGAAACTGTCCTTAACTTTCTTATCCAAAAACTTTCCCGAGCAAGTCTGTCGGCCCTTGACCAACCGAAGTTGTGGACTATGAGAGTCATGGTAAAGTTTTTGAGATCAGTTTGGGTGTGCCCAGGTGATCTCAAATTACGACTTATGGGGAGGTCGGGCTTGCAGGTGTAGTCACTAAGATGACAATTCATGTGTTTGTTAAACTGTCTGATTCTCGCAAACATACTGCATGCAACATCGACACTGATGAAGGATATACAACATTCTGGGTTTTACAAGTTACATTGCAATATATAGTGTATACTTTTATTAGAGGAGACATCAGCTCTCACAAATAATTCTTTTAGACTTTTGGGTCTCCGAAAAGCTAAGACAGGAGGTTTGGGAAATATCTTGGATAATTTTGGGCGTTTGGCAATAATCTGCCAATTGGCACGGATGAAATGGGAAAGGTTAGTAAAGGCGGGATTGTATGTTAAAACAGACGAAACTATTTCGCTTCGCCTTTTCTGTTTGTACTGTAATAGGTCATTGCGGTTGTTATTGTTAGCACGCACAAACCCCTCGTCTATATCCAATTTCTTATAACCTCGTTTGGTCAAAAATTGGGTGACAGCTTTGGGGAGAAAGGTACTGATGTTTATCTGTAGGTTTATAGTAGAGGTTTTTTGATATGACACCGTCCTTTATAGATGTAGTTGTGTCCAAGAAAGATATTTTAGAGTCGGAAATGTCATGTGTGAATTCAATTGACTGGTGGGCGTTGTTTGCATGTTTGATAAAATCATCCAGTTTTTGTTGTGATTAAATCCATTTCATGTCAACATCATCGATGAAACGGAACCAAGACAGAGGTTTAGATAAAGATGTTGAAATGATTTGTTTCTCTAATTTGCCCATGAAAATATCGGCGTAAGACGGAGCCATTTTCGTCCCCATCGCTGTTCCGTTTATTTGAAGGTAATGTGCACCATTGAAGGTGAAATTGTTGCATTTCAGAACCAGAGTAAGCAGCTGGACTAAAAATTCGGATATTTAATAATTTAACATTATACATATGTACACCTAAATAAAGCATTACACTTTAAGGTCAATTAATTGCAACAATGCAAACATTTTTCACAGTTTCCATTCTAAAACAACTTTTTTTAAAGATTTAATCAAATAATATTAGAAAGAAACAACAATGTGTCCATAGTACACGGATGCCCCACTCGCACTTTTATTTTCTATGTTCACTGGACCCTGAAATTGGGGGTCAAAACTCTAATTTGGCATTAAAATTAGAAAGATCATATCATAGGGAACATGTGTACTTAGTTTCAAGTTGATTGGACTTCAACTTCATCAAAAACTACCTTGACAAAAAACTTTAACCTGAACGAACGGACGGACGGACGGATCACTAATTTGATCACACAAGTGTTTGCTGTACTTGAAGTAAAACTTGATCTTTAGGAACATCAACATAAAATCAATGTGAGTCATGATTTATTTGTAAAGCAGGTGAGACATTTCAGCTTGTGCACTCTTGTTGACACAAAAAATGTGTTGAATACTTTGAGTACAGAAATGTACCATTCATGTAGATGTATCTAGGAATCTGTGGTAACAACTTTAGAAATATGTGATCTATTCTGATATACTTCTTGTTTATATTGAAACAAGTCCTTATAGTTCACATCGTTTGTAAGCATAGTTTTTAAGAAAACTTATTTCCTTATTTAGTGTTTTGAAATTGATTCCACAAAACAGCTATCATCGTTGAAAGGAAAATCAATATCTGTGTAACACCAACAAACCTGTCTACTCACCATTTTCAAATTTGGTACATTGTGTTGGGCGTGCAGAAATTACAACTGCGTTATTCAAGGTCTAAATTGAATGTCAAATAAAATATTCACCATGAAATTAATAGATTGTCTTTTGAAAATTTTTCAAAGTAAACTTTCATTTACAAAGGTCGGAGAGATGTGTGAAAGTTTCTTTGTATATATTGCACAGAATAAAAGATTTAAGGCATCTCCGCAAAGCATGTCACATTGAGGGATAACATCATAGACCGATATATATATACAAGGTCGAAATTATAGGTCCAGGTTACTATTAACCAATTTTCATCTATGGCCAAAGGTGGAAAACAGTAATTTATTGAAGTATTAGAAAATCAAAGGATATTGCCGGGTATCAATCAATAACACAAAATCAGTGCATGCACAGCAAAAAAAAAAGCAGTCACAGTGAGGCCTTCAACACGGAGCAAAAAGAAATATATTCTCACTGCAAGTTTAAGACGGAAGTGTCGGTTTTTGTTCTATGTAAAACAAATAATCAATTTAGTAGAACGTGTTGCTCGAGTTCCGGTAGTCTATAAAATATTCTTATTCAATTTTTTTTCAACGTGTCTATGCTGATATTTTCTTTTGTACATGCGGTTAGCACATTGATAGTTAAAATAGAAAATGGAAAAATAACAAATAGCAAAATAAGTAAAAAGAACATATCAGAATAGAAAACATTGCCCCCGAGGTAATATGTTAGACGACAAGAGTTCCGGAAATCATCAAATTATGTTATGTTATGTTATGAAAGAGATTGATAGATATCCTCTTCTCGCTAACAAATACAATAAACAAAATTTACAGGTTAGAAGACAGTGGTTGTTTTAAATGTTTTTTTCGTGCCCATGATTTGATAAAGAATGTAAATGTGCAAAATTAAAATGTTGGATGTGACTGTTAAGTATGTATTCTTTGCTTGAAAATTGTTATATTGATAACTGTTTTTGTTAAATAAAACATATTTCTAACTATTACCAAAAATGTTCATTTCTTAAAAATGAAGATATTTCAAGTTAAAAGAGACTGATGACAGTAACAAAATATAATAATACGCAAACATGATAGTGTGCTGAACCTCTCGATGCCTTTTAAAACATACTATATAGATTTTGCTCTTGTTGAAGGCCGTACGATGACATGCAGATTCTTTGTTTACGGTTAAATGTTGCTTCGTTGGCAGTCGTACACCATGTCAATATTTCAACTTTTTTTTATGCACAACACCATACTTATATTTCTGTTCTTTTAAAATTTTATGTGAAAATGTAACAAACCACGCTGACTTTCTGACCGTATTTCTATATTTGTAGAAAGTTTTGCATCGCTTGTTGACATCGAGAAAGGGTGGGCGTTCCGATGTCGTCAAAATTATTTTTTGTGAAGACTCCTCAAAGACATTGTTTCCAAGATGAAGAGCACGCGCTCGTCGTTAAAAACATGCTTTAAAAACTACACTATGACATTATCATGAAATACTGACTTACCCTTCCTGGAAGTGTTGACATTATAATAAAAACATTTGGTGGTATTTCTGACGGTATCCAATCTAGATCATGCTCTGTTCCCTCTAACTCTAAATAAGATGATAACGCTATTGTTAAACGATAATTATCGTATGGTGAGATGAATTTGCGCAATTATTTACTTTTAAAACACTGACATTTACTGAGCCAAACGAGCGAAGGGCATTTCAGAAGTTTAACGAAAACAAGAATGCACGCGTTGTAGTGCTTCGTATAACCCACTCACACTATCACAAAACAGACAGTAGGTGTCCGACAGATCCGAAAATCGCTTATATCTTATAATTTGTCACTTACAAGCTGCTGATCAAATATGAAGTCATTGTGTTCAGTAGAACAAGAGAAATGTGCAACGAAAAATTAATGTTCATTCAACATATTGAAATTGAAATCTATCTGCTAATATCTTGTAAGTGTCTGACAGATGCAAAAAGTACCCACAAGCTTCTACGCATGTAGGTCAATCAAATATGGGTTTATGTAAATGCAAATTCGTGTTGAACGGACGCTTGTTATTACCAATGAATTTATTTACAACTATGGACACGAGGACAATCAAAGTGACAGTAGTTAACAGATGTTCAAATCTAGTAATCGATTAAAATAGACAAATAAAGGTAATTGTTTATCATATATTTTTTAAACAACTAGGATCTCGATATAACGCTTTCTTTGTAGATCTTTTTTAATTCTTTTTATTTTAATTCTCGTTGTTTTAAGTGCATGCAATGATTTTATCTTATAAGTATCTATGAATTATTTAATAACTGTCGTCATATTTCCTTCGATATTCTCTTTACAAAGATCCTAACAGTGTAACATTATGATACTTTTTCCCTCTTCCCTTAGGGTATTTGTTCCTACTTTTTTATATAAACGAATTTTTATGTTGAAACCTTTTATTAGGTCTTTTTCATTTACTGAACTTCTCTCACAGATTCAGAATCTATAAATATCATAAATTAACAAGGTAGACTCAGATAAATTTCTCGCTTGTGTTCCATGATAACTATGAACATTTTTCAAAGTGAATGGGCTATGGCTGAGAGGCGCGGCCAACTTACCTCCATTACATGAGATTTGTCAATAAAATTTGTCGTTTTCAAATTATTACTGATTCTTCTCAAACTGTCATAATTACAAGTCTAAAACCATAATTGCCGACGACGTCGGAAACAACACGACTTTGTTTCATTAGCAGACTAAATATTGGTAGGACACAAATGACTAAGTACCTACTATTAGTTTTTGTGGATTTCTGAATAATCTGTAATTGGGATAATTAATTTTTAAAAGTGCATACCAAATGCATTTATAAGTAAAGGAAAAAAAGGTAAGTGCACGTAAGAATAGACAAGTTAATACGAGAAAATCTTCACAATCTCAACTTTATCTCTTTAAGTTTGGGCCACGATTTTCCTGAAAACCCGACAATGTCATATATCAAGTATACCATTGCTTGTTTATATAAACAATGATTACGCAAATGCGTTACTTCATTTACATCAAAAGTTTTGCATTGATTTTCTACGCCTGAATTAAATATTGACATCAAATCTTTTTATATAACACGGTCTGTCAGTACATTTGATATTATTTTACCTCCTTCGCCAGAGTCAAGCTGATTTAAAGCATCAAATACAATGACAACTTTTGTCAATGACCCAGCCATTCTAAGCCACTTGCCAATCTCATGAATAAGGATAGAATCAGATGACGGAATCTCCTGGTCAAAGTTGAAGAAAACTTTTATTTCTTCAAATAGCCTGTAAACACATATAGCGATAATGAGATTTCAGTTCCAAAAGTAACAGTTAAAAAATATGAATATTACCGGACTCGTTTGATTATACATATTTTTTCATGAATGAAATTTAAAAAAAGACTCTTTTAATAACATATCACATTTTTATACAAATTCACAAGTATTAAAAATAAGACAGAAAACTAACAAAAATAGTAAATCATTCACATTGATTATTATAAGAAAAACATTGGTTAGTTCACACTTTGAAGTATAACCCAAATAATTCAGTCCCTCTCCGTAATCGATCTCACCTACTTCCAAGGGTCTGAACTCTTTACACACTCAAACCAATTCTGGAATCTTGTATTTTGATGTGTGTCCTGTGCGATAGAGGACCAATCAGCAGGCAGCTTAATTTATCGAGATAGGTAAATCCCTTACTTATTCCTAATAATTGATTGAGGATTTGATAATGACTAGGTATTTAGGCGTTATCGAAGCCATTGTAGCGGAACATAATGACGGGTTACAAGAATTATCAACTTTGATCTGGTATTGACATGATAAGCATCTTTTTCGTCCCAATTGACTCGAACATTGTGACAACGTTTACGTATAAGTCTGTTAATTAGGATACATTTTTTGATTAGCTTTATTGAATAAAAAAACCCACTTTATTTCCTATAAATACAATAGTCATGTGCAAATTAGTAACGTCAAGATGGTTTTAGTAAAGGATCACACGCAGCTCTTGGGGAAGGATGGTTCGGGAAAAGACTATAATCAGACGGGCAAATAGTAAAGCATTAAGATACAGAGACCGAACCATAGACTGATTTCTACATTTATGTATATATTGCAAGACTTTGTATGACCACTATTTTACTATGCCATGCTTTTTTGTTGCAGACATTTGGTCAACCTTTGCATCAGCTGTTCCTCATTTGCCGATGATAATCAGTAAATCGGAGCTCACATCATTAGTTGTAACGATATATACCATAGAGCAAACTTTAATGAGATTCAATGACTTATTATATGATTTTTTTTCAATGTTCGTATTGGTCTTTTTCACTTTGAAATACCGTTTCATTAACAACTGATTGACGAAATGCTTTCTCTATATTGCATCAATGTTACTTCTGAACTTAAGCAAAGCGTAACCATGTTCATTCATTCTCGAAATTAGAACAATGTGATGAATGTTAGTATGTATAGATGTACATTTTTTTCAATCAGACATATGTTTTACTTGCGTACTACTATTCCCTCACTGTAACAGTTGCTTTTGAATTGACCGTAAGCAAGGTTGTAACAAACCTACTTATTTAAAATGAAGGAGTATAAAAAGTTCGGAAGGGGTTTCCCGTAACCCTGTGTCTCGCCTGCGATAGATGCTGTCAGTATAAAAGTGTAATGTCAAAGTCAAAATGTGAGTCCATTTAACAGTACATTATAGAATTTATATAAAAAAACTTTTTCTTTAGATGTCATTTCCTGGTCTTGAAGATTATCTTCTGTCCACGTTTCATAACAATCCATGAAGGTTTACAAATTAATCATGTCAAAAAAATTTAATCCCAGACTGTCTGCAAATGTTAACAGTAAAAATCTACGTCCATCTTTTAGAAAAATAAGGAAAATGAGAAATATGTTTTCAAAAATTTGCTTCAGACATTATTTCCTAATCATAAAAAAACTTCTGCCAAAGTTTCGTAAAATTATATGAAGGGTTGACTAAGTAATTGATGTGTAAAAATCTTTAACCCCAGACTGTATCGACTTGTTAAATGTAACAAAGATCTAAGTCCATTTATCGGTAAAATACTAAAAAATAAAATTTAGCTCTAAATTCTGAATTTTGGTTTTTAACAGACTTCTGTTCAAATTACATAAAATTCCATGAAGGTTTGACAGTTATTGATGACTGAAAAACGTAAACCTCAGACAGAGCCTGAGTGAAAACTGTAAAAAAATAAGTCCATTTATCATTTAAATACAGAAAAATCAAAATAAATATTTTAAAAAGTTTGCTCTGGATACTTATTTTTGGTCATAAACAAGCCTCTGTCAAAATTTCATAAAATTCCATGAAGGTTTGACAAAGTTATTAATGTCTAAAAAATACTTTTACCACAGACTGAACCTAAATGTTGACGACGCCGACGACATAATCTAGGATCGCTATGTCTCTCTAGATGGCGCAGGCTCGACAAAAAAACTCTTGTATAAATTTTAATGTCCTTACCGTCTTATCAACTTAATGTAATCTGCACTGTCAGCAGAACTGCCAATAAAATGAACAAACATGAATGTTGTCGGTTCTGCTACTTCAACCTGCTTCACCCAGTTAGCAACCAGAGCAGATTTACCACAACCTTAAGATGAATTTTTAAAAGTATTCGTTTAAAAAGTAATCATTAAGCAAAGGATTTTTAAAAATGAGATACAATGATATTTTTCACATATTTTCTCAATGTTGAAAACACGTATTTGTTTGTTGATGAAAGTACGTGTATTATAGAAGAGCAGTAGTTACTTAGAAGAGAGGGATTATGTCATATCCTTATTTATAAGAAACAGTGTACGCAAAACGTGTATCTATACTATTTATGACTAGTGTTTGATTTTTGTTTGTTTTTATGGACCCCTTTTTTTAAATTATCTTAGAATTCGGTATTTTTGTTAATACTTTCTTACTGGGATTTGTTGAAGACATGTCAAAACATTTTAATACACAAGCATTAAACGGGTATTTCAAAATGTAATACAATGTCCTCTTCAATGGACTGGTAGGAATATGAATATGGGTCTACACTATGTCACAAGGATGTAAATGTGATGAAGGTCTGAATTTTTCTTCATACTAAGAGAGACTTCTTACTTATGTAGTTGGCCATTTCTTTCTATCAGTAATCGGGTCAGAATATTGCAAAAGGAGGCGAAGGAGAAGGGTACATTTAATATCCGTTTCACAGATGATAGCGGATATGTTCATAATGTCGTAACTACAATCTCGTTCCATTTTCACGAATGTGACCTACCGAATTAGACTATTTACCGGATTTGTACTAACATGAGCAACACGACGGGTGCCACATGTGGAGCAGGACCTGCTTACCCTTCCGGAGCACATGAGATCACCCCAAGTTTTTGGTGGGGTTCGTGTTGCTTAGTCTTCAGTTTTCTATTGAGTGTTTTGTGTACTATTGTTTGTCTGTTGGTTTTTTTTTCTTTTTTAGCCATGGCGTTGTCAGATTATTTTCGATTTATGAGTTTAAATGTCCCTCTGGTATCTTTCGCCCCTCTTTTGAAAAGGACAATTAAAAAATTGTGAGTCTAAGAGAAACTGACAACGCAATTGTAAAAAAAGACAAAGACAAACATAGAAAACTAAAGCTTGAGCAATAAGAACCCAACAAAACACCTAGATTTCCTACAAATGCTCCTGAAAGGTTGGAAGGTCCTGTTACACATGTGACACACGTCGTTTTACTTCTTAAAAATACGTTGATAAGTTTTAATAAGTGACTAGGCATACACTATAGTGGATGAGTAATTAACCCTCATCTAACTCTGAAAATGACGATATTTTTTAGAATTTAAAGCCATGGGAAATACTATTTTGAAGAAATGTCTTACATGCTAGAACCACTGCTCAAATAGCACGAAACTCGACTTCTTATGATATGACTTTATAGCCAATACCTAATCAATTGTTTCCTACATTACAGAAAAAAACTACGTAAAGATAACATTTCCTTGCAACTTTCCTTGGCCATGGGTCACAGCAAGAACTAGACTCAAACTTTATCTGTTACTTCAAATAATCTAATTGTACACAAAATACCACACATAAATGATACAGGCATTTGAAAATAAGCAGTTGGATAGAAGCGCAAGATAAGTCTGGTATCTGCATATTGAAATTAAAGAAGGCAAATAAATAAGGGCAAATAATATGCCTCAAATTGTGATTTTAAATGTCCCTTAACTTTCGAAAAGTTAATCCTTTAATTTTCAAAATCTGCAAGAAGCTTAAACGTTTACCAAATCGAACCTAGCCATCATCCGTATGGTAAAAATATTTCATGATCACAAACAGTAGGGAATAACTGACTTCTGAAATGACATGTTGTTAAAAAATTGAACAAGATGACCAAATGTGGGAATAATTATATCAATTATAGTATGCAAAATAACCTCAAAGTTTAACTGGCCAAATGTCCAGGAGTAAAAACTAGTTTAACTACTATAAACTCACACCGGTTGCCTGTCAAATAGGATGTTAAAAGGGTTTCTTGTTAAGTGATTGACATTTAGTTACAAATGGTTAGTGATTTAAAAACTCAAGGTGAAATTGAACATCCGAATTAATCAGAAAAAAACATTGTGTATCTGGTACTCACCAGATTCTCCAAGTAGTACAAAAGGTTGGGTTAGATTTTGACTTCTATAGCTGTTGATTTCCGTAAAGTAATCTTGACTTCCAATATAAACTCTACATCTTGCTGATGAAAATGCTGCATGTGCTTCTCTCTGCTGTTCAAGTTTGGTAAGCTCTGTACCTTTTGGAAAATCATCATCAAGGCATTTTTTTAAATCCTGCAATCAATACTTTTTGTACAGATCCAATTTTGTTTTAATGAATACCAGTATTGTAGTTGAAGAGTTGTCGTCGTAAGTTGACGATTTGACAGGGGCAAATCTTCAACTACAGTACTGTTATTTCAATTCCAATGCACTACAAAAAGAAATTGTATATCAGAGTTTGTACAAATGTATATATTTAAGATAAAATTCTTCAAAACTTGAATCATTTAGCCGCATAAACACCATGACAAAACATATCGTCAGACAAATGAAAACTGTCATACCGAAGGTTATTTCGTTTCTTGTAAGACTCATATTTGGATAAAATCTTATTGAAACGGCCTTTTTAAAGGCAGTTTATGTTTTATTTTCAATTATATTGTACATTTATTAATCGAATAATGTGAATTTCAGCAATTCAAGTTGGCGACCAAGACATGTCAAGTGTGGATTTCATGATAAATTGGAGCAAATGAAAAAAACTTTTTACATGAAGATTGCATAAGAATAAGGAGTTTAAAGTGCATATACTTTCATAACAGTAATGTTACGTCAAGGAATCCATGCACATGTGTCAAATCAAGAATATCAACAATAAATTAATTTTTTAAATTTTATATATGTACGTATTTTGACCCATACCTACATGTATTCTTTAAACTACCTTTTTTTGTTTTTGTATCCGTGAAATACTGATACGCTGCAATATGTGAGCAACATTTTATAGGTATCTATTTCAAATGTCTTAAAACATATTCCATTAAAACACACGTTATTAAACTTAATTTGTATATACATTTTTTATTGTAACAAAATGTAAATCCTACCTAGAACTTCAACCTATAGTTGTAAACCCATGACAAAAAGAATGTCGAAAAATGAAATATCAGCTTAAATAACCACGAGAACTGTGAAACATATTTATAATGCTGTTTTTTCGTATGTGTGTAAGATTTCAGTAATTGGAAAGATGCAAGTCTAGCAAAATCAATCTTTTGCATAATATTTTATTGATAAGAAACCACTTAAAAACTAAAATCTAACTAGAAAACGATTTTCCTCTAAAAACATAATTGATCAGATATTTTTGTCTAGAAATATTTGCATGCGGTTTTTGCAAACAATAAAAACAACTTACCTTTTTAATATATTCAGACACTTCCAATGGTTTTTTGAATGTTCTCACATTTAAATCTTTGTGCTTAGTCACTTGATCTTTCAACATCTCTTGATGTTCACGATGCCAGTCCGATTCAGATATTAGGTGCTAAAAATATTATATGTAATCGTTTCAGAACAGTGAAAACACATAACTATGTCTTTAGAATACTGCAATCCTAAACAAAACATTCTGCATTAGTGATGATATCATCAACCCTTATCAATATGTATTTTTTTTAATTTTAACGCATGTGTCTCATACTACAATTCCCTTTAAGATTATACAACGTAATTTAAATCTTAAAAAATATACAAAATTTGCTTTCTTCTATAAAACATTGTCAAGTTTTTAACATACATAGTTTTTTATATACACATTCTACACGAAAGCTTTAAATACCATATTTTAGGTATTTGATTTATTAACTTTAAATATTAAAGTATTTCATTTAGTGTCAACAAGTGTATACATTCCTTTTTGGTAGAAATGACGTTTACCTTATAATCTTTCTCTGTAAAATCTTCCTTTGAAGGAGTGTCTCGAAGATAAAAGAAACACTTATTTTTCACCATATCTGGATCGTTCAAAACTCCATGAAACACCTCTAACTGTACAAATAAGTAAGCTACGATTATTGAAATTTATTTTTTATTAATTTAATGTATTAATTTAATAACTGGTAGTACATAACTAATACATATAGACTGGGATTATGAAATAAACAAATGACACTACGATATTACTGTACTTTAATCCAAAAATAAAGTATTGCCCATATGATTGAAAGATCACTTACATTTACCAGACAGTTAAACAATTTCTTCAAGAACAAAGCAAAACCTTTAATGATATTGAATTTAACAAGATATGAATATTTGAACATCAGTGAGCAATATTTCATAAACGACGACTAGGAAGAAGACACTAAACATTTATCATTAGATTTACATGATTAAAGAAGAAGGTATGATAACGCTACTTTTTTGGCCCCTAAAATTAGAAGATAAACAACAATATACTAGTAGTAAAACAACTATTTACTCATTAAATTGAATTATGCATGCAAAGAATGCTTATTAAGATATGTAGATTAGAATGTGCCAGGATGTAGGAGCGAAAATTTTTGTCAATTCAATTTTGGTGAGGCAAACTTAAATTGTGTTATCTGAATTTTTTCTTACATAACTGTTATATTTGTACTTAAATTGTTACCAACATAGACTTCTATTAAATAAGCTTTTCATACTGTTTTACTGTAAATATTGTAAGTAGTCGGTATAACTACATGAACTGAATAGATATATAAATATTTACTAGATGTCATTTTGCTTACTTGAGTAACACTTGTATCATATCTAAATTTATCGATCCATTTCAGTTTTGGATTGTTTTCAATTGCATAATCATATGACATATTCAGAACTTCATCTGGTTTGTCCTCTGTTTGACACCATCCAAACCTGTCGCCCATGAGACAGATAAAGTACGGACGACATCTGTCGATCTAAAACATAAAAAATAAACCAGTTGATGGAGGAATATGGACATCAAATATACAAGAGTCTCTAACGAGCTTGTGTCACTCACTTGGATTCGTGTGCATTTTAAACAAAGTCCACTTTCCAACATTGTAGACTAGACAAACATTTATGATCTTGTATTGCTGATTATTTTTTCTGATTAAAGTTTGTTCTTCAACCTTCAAGGGCAATAATTCCTACAAAAAGTAGAGTGACAATTCTATTTGTGTTGGCCTATTTGTGAGTCTTCTCTTGTTGATTTGGAACATTTTCACTGTAAAAAAAGTAGAATAAAGTGCAAACAAATAGACAACAATATTAGGAATATAGAATAATGGGGCGCTAAAATATAAAGAATAGAGAAATATTTGCAAAATAAATAAAGAATAGGGAAAAATGGTGTAAAAAATTAAAGAATAAAGAAATTGGGAAGTCCCATTACAGGTTGCATTTCTGTAAATATAGACAATGCAATTTCCCGTAGGAATTCTCTTTGCGGCTAAAACTGTGCCATTTTTACTATGAAGTTTCGTAAAAAATTATATCCTAGAATTGAAAGCTGATATGCACTATTATTTCATTCAAAGGTCAAACATAGGGCTGTGCGGCATATTTTCAACATTTATATACCCTGAACTTGTTAGAGTTTAAACTTATACTAAAATTCTGTACTACCCCTACCTCCACTTTTTACCTACTTCAGAATTCAACTTTCACCGCAACAATATGTTTTTATACTGGTAACAGTCCCAAGTTATGTCTCTATGAGATGAAACATAGAGATCATATCCGGGAACCAGTACGTAAACAAATCAAGTTATCTATGAATATTATATATCTCCCCAAAAGAGGCGTGGTTTGAGAAACAGCTGTATTCACAAAGTGCAACCTATACTAGCATTTATTCAAATAGAAAACTCTCTAAAAACACTGTTTCTCACAACAATACTTATTTATCAGAATTATAGTCTAATAGAAATCACTGCATATAAGTTTTCTTTTACAGTACATTTTATACCCCCAACCCTGTTTCAATTTTTTAAAGAATTTGAAAACAAGACTTAAATAATTGCCAGCTTACCCTATGTGTATGTTTTCTGACATGAAATGTCTAGAACCTGTTTGAACCTATTCTGATAACAAATTGAAAGCATTTCAGAATACTATAAATGTAATGTTTAGTAGTTATTTATTCCAACATTCAAGATTATATAAAGTATCCAATCATGCCTCTCCACATCTTACTGTATGCCTATTTGTCGATGAAGGTTCACAATTTCTGCCTCAAATGGTCAGTTTAAAAATCTTGTCACAACAGCATCATCTCTAACCATATATTTAACATAATTTAGCTAACATATGAACTAGAAGTGTTTAAACAAAGCCATATTTGCAAAAGATGTATGTATGAAAATACCAGTCTGCTGTATGAATTCACTAAAAGTTTTATACAAATGACTGCTAACATCTTATTTTTGCATAACTTCCAAGCAAATTTATTGTTTTCTATACAAAAGACCTTTAAAATAATAAAATCATAGCATTTACAAGTTAAATTATCTGTTTTATGACCCAGGGGGTTGGCATTTTTCTCTGTTTTTTGCCCCTGGGGCCTCAAATTTCCATAATTATTTTGCTGTTTCTAGCAATATGGAATATTAAGTACATATTTAAGATAGAACACACTATTGGAAGTTTTATTGAGGTATTTTTGTATTTCTAGCTTGTATTTTTTTATGCCGTGGTCACAAAAAGCACATTTAGGTGTTACACCTTACTTTTGGGTTATCAACAGGACAAAAACACCCCACCAATAATATTCAGGATCTATGAGTTTCAATGACTGCGAAGAGTAAATTTAAGCACTTCTAAACAATTTAAATTACAAATATGCATATATTATGCATTTATTTTGCATTCAGGGCTTTAAATAAACTATGCATACTGTAAACTGTGAATTTATGCTGAGTCATCATAGTTAAGGCCCAGGATTTTCTCAATCTTCATGAAATATTTATAAAACTGCATATTTGAGTTAATTTCATTAAAATCTCTGAGATAAACAAGATTTGATGAAGTTCTGTATGTTTTCTTTTTTCACCCAATATAGGTTGCATTTCTGTAAATATAGGCAATGCAATTTCCCATAGGAACTCCCTTTGCGGCTAAAACTGTGCCACTTTTACTATGAAGTTTCGTCAAAAATTATATCTTAGAATGGAAAGCTGATATGCACTACTATTTTATGCACACGTCAAAACATAGGGCTGTTCGGCATATTTTCAATATTTTATATGCCCTGAACTTGTTAGAGTTTAAACTTATACTAAAATTCTGCACTACCCCTACCTCCACTTTTTTGCCTACTTCAGAATTCAATTTTCACCGCAACAATATGTTTTTATACTGGTAACAGTCCCAAGTTAAGTCTCTATGAGATGAAACATAGAGATCATATCCGGGAACCAGTACGTAAACAAATCAAATTATCTATGAATATTTTATATCTCCCCAAAAGAGATGTGGTTTGAGAAACAGCTGAATTTACAAAGTGCAACCTACAGTTTCTCCAATAAGTTGACTGACAATTTCCACCTATTTGCAAATCTCGTCTTGCTCATCGTTTTTGCTTTTAAAGATTCTCTCTTTATAATTTAGTTTTCCAGATAATCAGCAAAAAGGAAACACAGGTTGGTAAAATTCGTCACTAATGGGAAATAACTCCCATTAGAAATCGTTTAACAGCTTTGATGTTGAAATGCCAAAAAGTAGATATCAACATCCTAAACATTTCTGTCCTGTCAGATTTCTTTTTCCAAAGATTATAACACAATTGTATTCTACCACCATCTTCCATTTATAGCCATTTCGGTCATGTTGTAAAATGTATAATTTTTTGACGACTTTCAACTAGTCTAAATAAACAGCAATTACCAACAAAAAAATACCACCATTGTTAGCTATGTCTGATTATACAAAACTTCCTATTGAAATATTTATTTGGTATTTGCACGTGTTCACAAATATGTGTCGATTTATGTAAAGGACCACAATGTGATTCTCCTGAAGAGTACTTTTTATATAGGCTACAAAGTAAGCGCATTTCGTAAATATTGTCAAGATACCAGGAAAACATTTGCCGCAACATACGATCAAAAATGTTCTGTAATCAAAAGATTCCAATCTGTTAATAAATTCCCTAGACACGATAATATTCTTGATCAGTTGTGGGGGCTATGTAAACTATGCTAAACAGTGTTATGAATTATAGTAATATTAGACCAAAACTGACGATTCGGCACAAAACAATACATAATTAAGGGGTCATTACTTTGAAATTTATTACGTGGTGTACCAAAAAGAAGTTTTTTTGTATTCAAAGTTATATCACAATTAGTTCTATGTAAAATATTTAAAGTGTTGGGCAGTTAAAAAAATATCTAAATCTTGGGGCCAATGTTAACCCTTCGTGAAACTGTTTATCAATTAGATTTAAGCTTAAATACTCATAGTGATACCTCACATTTGAGGCTAAACATGCTCTTAGTGTAACTTACCCCCTTGTATGAATAAACATAACTAAAATTAAATTGCATAAATACCTCTTGTAAACAAATTAATATAGTTTTTCCATGACTTGTTTGTTCTTTTGTAATACCCCATCTAAGATCTACATATGTGAAGAAAACTCCTCGATCTGTACACATTCGGTTTATCTGAAACCAAATTTAAGAAATAGCCTTATTTCATATTTTATAGTCTTTTATAGTCTGGATTTCTCCCAAAATTATAGATTGTTGATGCCATTCAAAATGATTGAACTACGTGTAAATAGTCATATCAATGATACCATCATGACACAATGATAAAAGCTTATTCCGGGAGAGGAATCCTAATAACTGCTGGATATAAACTGTTCGTGTGATTAATGTTAAATCTGAGAAATTTGGTGCATTCTGTAAAACGTCCATTACGTAAAATGTGTAAAAACTAACATATCAACTAAAAACCAGTCAATAGTTTCCATAACATAGAAATATAAGTCTGTAGTAATTAGTGGATACACTCGATACAGCAAAATTCGATCACAGAATTTGACTTTAAATAGCATACTATTTATAGTTTTTACACTTCGTCAATAATTTATGTGATTTTACTCCAATACATTATATCTGTGACAAATATATATTATGACGTAGTATTTACATTTGCCATTTTGTTTATATATTTAGAAAAATAATAAAATGCATCTAAAATTGGCATAAAGCATCGGGTCTAAATGATAATATCTAGCCATAAGCTTAAGACTCGTGAGATTTTGAAATTCTTTGTTTATAACACATTCATATAAGCTGAATCTTCTTACCTCTCTGAATGCTTTTTTGATTATTTCTTCTCTTTCATCCCTAAAATCTCTAAATGTACTTGACACAAAAACTCTTATTTCTCTCTTTCTGCGCATTTGTCTTTGTCTCTGCCATTGTTTTGATGGTACAAAATCATGATTAGTTGCTATCTTTGTTTGATTGTCAAAGGTCTTATCAACAGGCATTTCTATGAAAAAATTACATGCTTAAGTCAGAGTATTCTAGGTAAAATAGCGATAACACAAAATTCAATCCTTTGCAATATAAGGTCAAAATCTCAACAACAAAAATGGGTGACTAACTGTTAGAGCCCCAAACGAAATAAATGTCATCCTTGCATAAAATTTTACGTCTGCATCACAAATTAGAGCTTATTAAAGGCGTATGTGTTTCCGTATGTCAAGAATATAATTTCTGTTTTTCCTGTACTTTCGGACTTACATGTATATCTTTTTTTCTGAATTAACATAAAGGCTAACCCTGATCTAAAGCTCCTATCAGATTTCCAACATATAGAAAATAATACTATGACAACATCATAGTTGAAATGAAAAATCAGACTTCATAACAAAACAATTACATAAAGATAATTTAAGATTTATCAAAAAGGACT